TTGCTACGGATAATTTTTTTTTTTTTTTTTTTTCTGAAGGAATTTAGATGTATACTTTTTTGTCAATTAGGAAGTTATCAAATCATAAGGTCCTTTTCTAGTCGTTTGAGGTTCGAATCTCACGAACCGGCTGGCTGCATGGGTGTTTTCGTGGTTTTCCCCATGTGTAACATGTATATGAGCCAGTTTCCCTTAGAAAGTCCTCCATGAAGGCATCCCTTCCCTTATGCAGATAGCCCTCGAGGCTTTGCCGTAATTAAATAACCTAACCTTTTCTAGTCATTCATCAAATTCTTGCACATAAAATGTACTTGAATCAAAACGTGATTAGTCATAATTTTTTGTGCAATGTAAAGCTGCTATTAAAAGTATGCATGCTAACATTTGCCTGCAGCTCCTTTAAGGCATGTATTTGTTTATAATTATTGAAGTCGTCTTTGGTTAAAATGGCACAGAGTGAATTTTCAGTGATGGGTACAAGTTTAAAATTTTTGCAGAATATTTATTTGGTTACAGTTACAAAAGCAGTTATCAATAAAATGTTTTAGTTTGCTTTATTAACGAGTACAGAAACTTGGTGCTAATAAATATCATTAAAAATTCCTCAAGTGGTTTGAATTCTTCTATTGGTATCTGAGAGGTTCTGCAGATATTTTGTCTTCTCTTCTAGTTATATTTTCAGCATTTCTTTTGGGTACTTGTAAAATTTAAAGTTTAAAAAAATGTTAATTTTGATTATTGTTTAAATCAGGGATGGACAACATGTTCTAGTTTAGTGGACAAATGCTGATTCTGTCTCCATTCTAAGAGCCAGACCATATTATTAAATAAAACAATATTAGGTGATTTAAAACAGGTTGCTAGTCAAAATCTCATTTGTTAATAGTATAATGTTTTGGTGTAAAAAAGCTTTATATAAATTTTATAATGAATGATGTTATTTAATGTGAAGATTGGCCATATACTTGAACTAAGAGACTAGCAGTATTCACATTAGTATTATTATTGTAATTGCATAGAATATTTTTTAAAGTTTTCTCCATTATTTTTATCTATATTTTTGATATAGTGTTATTTCATTCTTTTTAAAAAAAAAAAAAAAAAAAAAAAAACTGTTCACATGCATAAATGCTGCTGAAAGAGAAATTTTCCCCCCCCCCTTGAAAATGTGCATAAATTTGTATATTTTTCTGTCATGCTTAATCCATTAACGACCACACTATCTTCCACTTGAAGGAAATGAACAAAGAATTTTTTTTAACAACAAAGAACGAAGAACAATGTGATTTGTGTGATCTTTTTTGTTTCACTTGAGGGTAAACGCTGAAAGATGGTCGGCCAACACAATCAGTATATACATATACTGAAAATTCCTAAATTTCCTTTCATATTCTGAAAATTGCACCTTTATCTTCAGGTGAAAGCTGCAAATTTTCAGAGTATTCTTCCCTGTTTACAGTTTTGAAAATCTAACAGAGAAATTTTGGTGTCTACAGCAATTTTATAAGGTTTCCATGCAATTGATTTATCTACAGAAATAAAATTAAAAAAAATAAGCCACCACCATAATATGTTCAAGCCACCCATATATTTGTTGCAATGTCTGATGAATTTAGGTTACTTTATGGGTACAGTTTTTTTTTTTTCTTTTCATGAGTACCTATTGGTCACGGAAGGTGGATAAATTGCATTATAGTTGTCATAACTATGACGGAACTGTTGTTCCATCGAATTAGTGTGATACCATTTTCTGTATCAAATGCTGTTCATATGTTCAATGTTCTTTTATTTCCATCTTATTAACAGGTATAATAGGACCATTTCCTAATCTGTACTCAAGAACTGCTTCAGCCGCATGAAATTTCAGTTCATTCAATTTCAACAACAGCATGTGTTACATAAAATATTCATAATGATATGAAGAAGCGTCCACTTTACTTAAAAGATTTGTTACAATGTCTCCACCTAATCCAAGATCAGTTAATGACTTTGAAAAGTTTCCTGAATATGTATCAAAATGAACTCTACTCTTCTTAGGAACATAAAACAGTAAACTTTGTACTCGCATGATTACCTTTGAGAAGCATTTTTCATGAATGTCTACCAAAAATAAGGTAAAGTACCTCATGTGGCATGAAACTGGCATTTATAATAATATTTAAAGAGACTATACCTAGCCAGTTTTCCAGTTCTTCATAAATTATAATGTTTCATTCAATGTTAAAAATTGTTGTCACAGATATTCATTATTCTGGAACTATTGTTTTGTGGAATCTGTAAAAGAAAATAAGTTTATGAAAATCTGTATATAGTCACAAAGATATGCTTTGAACTGACGTTGCATTATCACAACTTTGACACCATTATAAAACCTGTTTCTAGAAGACTGTTTCTTCCATTGGTTGTACTTTTTATGAAATCTAATCAAATTAAAAGAAAAGAAAAACTTTGCAAAAAAAGTACCAAAATGATCATTTATGTTTCTAAAAATTCTTCGTGTCAGATAAATAGCATTTCCCCACCAGAAACAGTGCAGTTTTATCTGCAATATACAAAAAAGTTGAAGGGAAAAACACTGTACAGAAGATGCAAAAAATCTTTTGACTTGTGTTACGAAAACGCTACATCAGTCTTTAATGAGTTAAATTTGTATATTTTTTGGCCACCAAATTGAATTTTTAAAGTTCTGTCAAAGAAGTGTTGTTGAATTGTGGTTTCTGTACCCGAAGCTCAGTAAGTTTATCTGTAAGTTTTCTGGGTCGTTATTTACCTCAGCGTCCATTGAATGAGCAACTACAGTAAGTGCACAGCATTTGTTTCCTTCCATCCTGTATCAAGTGATTCTGTTGCTGCTATCAGTTCATCTTCATAACAATAGCAAGAAATACTTTTGTGAGTTGCTAGATTAGGAAAACATTTTGAGTTTCTTTTTTCTTTTCTTTTCTTTTCTTTCTTTTTTTTTTTTTTTAAGTTTTAACATGTCTATGAAGTTCATGAAGCACTTATCCTTGTTATTTGCTATTTACGATTTAGTTTGCGTAGGTATTCAGTTACATCTCGACAATGCTGCATCACATTACTATTCTTTTTTACTTGGTTAATTGGTTTCCTTCTGTGTCTATAAAATACTGCAATGTCTTCTTTCAGATCAGAAATTGTTTTAGCATTTTACCTTCTCTCAAGCTACCTCACTTCACAGTAATGAGCTGCATCTGCATAATCTTAAGAGAGGTCTACCAAATACTTCATTACTGGCAGTGAGTAAATACTTAATATTGGGTACTACAACTTCCATAATATTTTTTAATTGAAGCAGTTTTGCACGCATATTTTATTGTAAATTATGAAGTGCAGTGAACATTTGATATAATTTCTGGATGAATTTGTAGTTCCATTCCTCTTTCATGCACTATTCCAATAAACTGCTGTGTATCATACACTGCAGTGTATCCACCACTGAATATGTCAGTTGAGTTCTGTTTGAGTCAAATTTTTTCAATTGCTATGTTGACCATTTCAAATAAATTATTGCCATTAATTAATTTTAATTGCCAAAATGCCAATAATTCTATGATGTTCAAATCATCATCGACTCCTCAAACAAATGTTGCACTCTTGTCCAGAGCCATTGAAAGTGCATCCAGTCTAGCAGTCTTCTCAAACATTTTCATCCATAATTTCTATCTGTTGGACTGAAGTACATCTCGATAAATGAGTCTTCTCAATTTTTTTTTCCTTTTCTGAATAGTTTATATTTCCAAAATTCATAAACATTCCATAAATTCTTCACCAAATGACTTAGAATATCTAGAGATTTTAAATCTCTGCATTCTCTGCTTGTTGAACGTTCACTGTCAAGTATCCATATTTTTCTTCAGCTTCTGTATTTCATCTTTTAATTGTTATATGTTGCTTTTTTGTCTCAAATAAAGTGTCTCTAAGTTGTACCCACCAGAGGCCGATAGGTAAAATCGCTGAGAAGTGGTAGTTCCAACTTGAGTTTGATTCAAAGCAAACGGGCTGGCTGCATTGGCATTTTTGTGGTTTTCCCCATGTGTAATGTATATAAGAGCTAGTTTTCCCTGAAAAGTCCTCCACGAAGGCATCCCTTCCCATATGCAGACAACTCTGTAGTAGCCTTTGGCATTATCAACTAAACCATACTTTCAAGTTGCATTCTTTGTTGACAGATATGGATTTGTTGCACAGCAAACATATAGGAAAGCTATTTTTCAGAATAGAATAATAATATTCTGTTTAGTTTTCTTGAGTTGATGATTCTGTGCATATGTTTTTCTTCTCCTTTTTTCTTTTTTACGAAACCATGTCATTGCTCCAGATTTTTTTACTGATATTCAAAACTATCAAAGAAAAATGTCTTCTACATCACAGGCACAAAAGAGAACACAATATCTGTGCAGACAATGAATAGAACACACAACTCTGGCACTGAACAAAGCAAGTACCAATACACATAATGAACAAATGTGTTGAAATGCTTTCACACATCCCATTAGTGAGGAGAATGGAGTGATCTGATATTTCTTTGCATGGATCATATGATATCAGCTTAACATAAGTTAGCAGAAGACACCATGTTTACTTCCACTGTGGATCGGAGAAACTTGGATGAAATAGATTAGAGTCAGATCAGTGGAAGTAAATGGCCAGGGGTTGGTTGCCCGTATGTGGTTTAAATGAAGTTTTATAAAATACACAGTGCAGGGTTTTGAAAGTGATGCTGGTACTAGCAAAAACAATGAATTTAGTAAATTAGAAACTTGATACTTGATTTATCAAAAATAACTTCTGATGGAATATCAGTACAGCAAAAGGAAAGGGAGTATAGTACCTTTTTTAGGGTTTGAGACAATTATTTATAATAAATCTTTAATTAAAATCTAAAGTGTGTGAAACTTGTGATTATTTATGCTAACAATATGTAGTGTTGTCTTAAGGTTTTAAAATGTTATTCATTATATTGTTTCTCTTTATTTCAGGCCTCATGACTTGAATTCTAAAGTTTTTTGCTACAAAATGATCAGCAGATAGAACTGATCTCCTCATGTTTGAGTCATGATGAATGGGGAAGGACCTAGTGTACCAATCACTACATTAGCTGGTATACAGAGTTTGACTGATCTTCTCCTTGAGTTGCCACTTCCTACCCCTTTACCCGGTGTCACTGGGCATCAGAGTTTGTTATCCCACTTGAGGGATTCCGAAGAGGCTCGAAGGCTGCTTAGTACGCAGGAATCTATTCTAATCCCACCTCTGATTGATGCTCTGGGTTGCACTACAACAGATCATATTGAAGTCAAAGATGGTTATTATGGTGGTGGATCTCATAGTGGACAAATATCACAGCTTGTTCAATATTTGCTTGGCAGAAATCCTGGCCTTTTTAAAGGTTCAGTACATGGACCACAAAGTGGAAGTAGTGACCACCATGTCCCTCCAGGACAGTGGTTACAGAGGCAATGTACTAATATTCCGGTGCATCCTCAGCAGCACACATTCAGTGCTGCTGCTGTTTCACCCTGTCAGCCTCGTCCAAATCAAGGCAATAGTCCAAATTATTTTCCTCTTGAGCCTCCACCAACACCACAGAGTGCAAGAATTGTACAAAACAAAACTTTAAATGTAGTGCCGCCAAAATCACCTGTGGCATACACCCCATATACACATACAGTGGCTTCTTCTGGTCAGCAACAGCATCCTGCCCCTCTTCACCATAATGCTATATCTCAAGGAACTGGTGATTCCTTGGCCTCAGGTCTACAAGAGAGCCCACAGATGTTTAATTCTCCACTTGTCAGTCAGCATATTATCAATGTACCTCAGCCGTCACCTGCAGTTCATCCATATAGTAATGGGAACTGTGTGGATGAGGTTGATCTCAGTGCAGTGAGTGCAAAACAAAACGATAGGACAGAAAACCACATTCTAAATTCTGCGCAGGTTATGAGCAATATGGCACCAAACTGTTCACCACTTATTTCTCCTTTAAATAATCCAAATGATGTGTCCTTGTCATCTCCATCTTCTTCGTCATCTTCAACTCCTCAGCATATTAATTCATCAAGTGTCATTGTTGGACCTGCTGCACCTCATGCAAACTGCATAAAAAAGCCAGTTCTAGAGCAGTGGCAACCTGTACCAAATAACTCCTTTGATATTTCTCAGCCTGATTGCTATGCAAAAGAAAATGTAAATAATTTACCACAGGCTGCAGAGGAATTAAATATTCAGCCATTACCTGTGCCTGCATCTGAACTGCATACTGAAATTGAAACTGTAAATCATTTGGAAAGTAAAGACACAAATGACAATGTGTGTACACCCACTGGGCATGTAGAAGAACGACGGAAGTCTGTAACTGAACCTATTGTTGTGCTTTCAAAACTCAGCATTGAAGACCAGCTTCTAGCTCAAAAAAGTGTAAGGCAGTTTACAATAAAAAGCAAAAAAGTGACTTCATCTCCTGAGCCTGTCAAACCATCAGCACAAACCAAAGCTTCAGAGATTAGTAGTCGTCGAAGATCATCTTCAGGCAAAGAGCCTGATACCAATAACAAAACATCACCACGTAGGCGAGGTAGAAATAATGAATATTTCCCTCTGCGGAAAAACTCCGAAGTCGTGAAAGACAAAGGAGTGAAAAGAAATTCAAGTGCTGTAGAAGAAAAGTTAAATAATAATACTAGCTCACTAAGTGAAAGAGTAAAGAAAAGGAGACGCATCAGTCAACAAACAAGCTATATTGAATCCCCTGGTTCAGCAGATGAAAACAGCGATGACTCTTACAAAGAAGCATCTCCTTCTGAAACTCCAGTTCCATCCGTACCTAAGGCAAAGAAGTTAAGAAATAAAAAAGTAAAGAAAGAGTTAACAACTGAGCCATTATCTGTTGAAGATTTAATGGATACAAATACCTACCAACATTTTTCTCGTATTGTGGATGTAATCTTTGATTCTATGGAAGATATTGATTTTTCTGCTGTGATAGATGAAGATGCTGAATGTGCTGCAGAAGCCCTTATTCCTTTGGGTCAATTACAAGATTTAAGTAATGAAGCAGCCAAGTTAAAACGTTTACATGCAATGAACCAATTTCCACCAGAACGTTTAGTTCGATTACTTGCCATCCTTGAAAGAAACATTGTAGATGGTGCAAAATTACTTCCTGTTCATACCATGGAAGAACAAGATGAAGAAGAAGCACGTTTGTGGTTAGAATTAACTATGGAAAGGGTAATGAGAAGTGCTGATGCTTCATTAACTGCTTTGTACATCATGACATCTCCAAAAATGCCAGAGAAGGTCTTTTTGGAGGATGTCATTGAAAGAATTGTTCTATTTTTGAAATATCAGCTTCAAAATACCGTATTCCCAGTGTTTGATCCAGCTTACAGACTTGATCCAAAATCCAAAGATGGTTATGCTGGAAATATTAAACAAAAAAGAGCTCATGCTCACAGAGTTAAAGAAAAATCTACTTTACAGTTATATAACAAATTACATGAAGCTGTAAGTCTTTTAGCTGAATTATTGGAATTACAAACACTAACTGACACTATAATTTTGCAGGTCTCTACTTTAGGTGTTAGTCCATTTTTTGTTGAAGGCATAAGTGAATTACAGTTAAATGCTCTTCGCTTGGTTACAACTGTTTTTGCACGTTATGATAAACACAGGCAACTCATATTAGAAGATATATTAGCATCAATAGCCCGATTACCTACCAGTAAAAGAAGTCTTCGAAATTATCGCTTAAACTCCGAAGAAAATATTCAGATGCTTACTGCTTTAGTACTGCAATTAATTCATAGTGTCGTAAGATTACCTGAAATTGAACCGGATCCTAAATCAGAACTCTCAGCTAATGAAGATAGAACTAAAAATACCGATACTAAAGAGAAAGTGTATATTGATAAAGATGTTTTAATTACCACATCCTATGAAGCATCAGTGAAAACAGCAATAAATTTTCTCTCTGTATTCTTAAAAAAATGTGGGACGAAAAATGAAGAAATGGATTATCGCCCTTTGTTTGAGAATTTTGTTCAAGATTTATTGAGCACTGTTAATAAACCAGAATGGCCAGCATCAGAACTCCTCCTTACAGTCTTAGGAAGAATTCTTGTAAGGAATTTCAGCAATAAATCTATGGAAATGACTCTTAGAGTTGCTTCCCTTGATTATCTTGGAGTGGTAGCAGCACGTTTACGGAAAGATGCAGTTACTAGTCAAGATCGTAAGGACATGATAAATGATGTTATTCAGAGAATAGTTGCTGAGAGTGATGATTCAGAACTAAGCCCTTCAAAAAGTAAAAAGAAAAACAAAAAGAAACTGGTTAAACGGGATGAAGCTCAAATATTACAGAAGGCCCTCCTCCAGTATCTTGATTCCAATGCGGCGAGTGACCCAGCCCTTCAGTTTTCTCGACGGTTTTATATTGCTCAGTGGTATAAAGATGCAGCTTCTGAAATTGAGCATTGTGATAAATCTTTAAATTTTCCAAAAGAAGAAAGTGAAAAACCAGATCAGACAGTTCGAAAAAAAAATAAGCCTTGTAGGTCACGGACCAGTAGGAGGAGATCTTCTCAGGTAACATATGAAGAAGAAGAAGAGGAGGAGGAGGAGGAAGAAGAAAAAAAAGATAAAGAGGAATCCAAATTAGAAAATGATGAGGTAAATGCTAAAGTACTTGCTTTAGCTGAAGAGAGAAAACGTTTTTTGTTAACTGTTATTAAAAGGGAAGAACCTCCTAAAGTTAATATGAAAGAAGAAGAACATATTGATTATAAAACTGCAGAATTAATATCTCAATATTTAGCCTCTACTCGGCATTTTTCGAAAAGTTTTGATTTGTATTTGTCACAAATTCTACGAGTGCTTAGTGAGACAGCTGTAGCTGTTCGAACAAAAGCTATGAAATGCCTCACTCTTGTTGTTGAAGCTGATCCTAGCATTTTAGCTCGATCTGATATGCAGAGAGGTGTGCACGGCAGATTATTGGATCATTCAACAAGTGTCAGAGAAGCTGCTGTTGACTTGTTGGGCAAATTTATTTTAATCCGTCCTGAGCTCATAAGTCAATATTATGAAATGCTTACAGCTAGGATACTTGACACTGGTGTAAGTGTACGCAAGAGAGTAATCAAAATTTTAAAGGACATATGTTTAGAACAACCAGACTTCCCTAAAACTCCTGAAATATGTGTTAAAATAATTCGACGTGTAAATGATGAAGATGGAATTAAAAAATTAGTGGGAGAAGTTTTCCAAAGTATGTGGTTTACTCCTGTCTCTGATAAGAAACCTGACAGAATACTTCAGAAAGTAAAAAATATTACACATGTTGTTGAAGCATGTAGAGACACAGGGCTTGAATGGTTCGAACAATTACTTACCAATCTCTTAAAAAACAAAGAAGACAGTAATTATAAATCTGTTGTGAAATCATGTAAGCAAATTGTTGATTGTTTGGTAGAAAATCTTTTACAATTGGAAGAATCATCTCAGAATGTGGATGGTGGAGCTAGCCCACATCTTGTAGCATGTTTATCTACACTACATTTGTTTAGCAAAATTTATCCACCTTTCGTTGTACCACATGCTACAACCATTCAGCCGTATTTAAGTATGAAATGCAATACACATTCTGATTTTTTGCTTCTAAAAAATGTAGCACAAACCTTAGAATTGGTTGTTCCTCTAATAGAGCATCCAAGTGAATCTTTTTTGGCACAAATAGAAGAAGATATGGTAAAACTAATTCTTCGTCAGCATATGGGCTTACTTCCAAGTTGTGTTAGTTGCTTAGGAGCTGTTGTAAACAGAGTAACTCATAACCACCAGCTTGTCAAAGATTGTTTCCAAAAATTTTTTGTTGTTCTTTTAGTGTGTAAAAAAGAGTATGAGAAAAATCCAGACAATGAGATTTTGAAATCCATGCGTCCAAAATTACTTCGCTCCCTTTATACTGTGGGATTATTTTGTCGTCATTTTGATTTTGATGCCATGGATACTGGGTCTGAGCAAAATGGACAAATTTCTCTCAAAGATCGTGTTTTTGAAGGTATTATCTATTTTAATCAACACGATGATGAGGATATACGTTTAAAAGCTTTAACAGGACTTGGCTTTATTATGATTCGACATTATGAATTTATGTTAGGGCCAGAGGTTAAAACTCTGTACCACTATCTCCTTACATCTCCTGTTGCATCATCTGTGTTAAAATGTCAAGTTTTGAAAAATATTACCAATTATCTTGTAGAAGAAGAAATGCGAATGATACAAAAGGATGCAGAATGGAGCAAAACATCAAAAACAGAGGATTTAAAAGAAATGGGTGATGTAACATCTGGTATGGCAAGTACAGTTATCCAAGTTTATTTAAAACAAATACTTGAGTGTGTGCTGCATACTGAAATAGCTGTGCGTAGAGCAGCTCTCCAAGTAATTCAGCTTATTCTTGGGCAAGGCTTGGTACACCCTGTTCAAATAGTACCATATTTAGTGTGTCTTGGCTCGGATGATGGTCCTGTTATTCGAACTAAAGCTGACCAGTTACTTCAAGAAATTGAGAAGAAATACCCAGGATTTATTCAGATGAAAGCAATGTTGGGTGTGCGGATGTCATTTAAAATGCAGCAGCTCATACAGAACCAAAATGAAATTCTCCGTGGATTTCGTAATCCTGATGCTCCAGCAAGCCGAAATGGTTTTTTGTATTCTGTGATGCGATCTACTAGACAGAGTCGGAGAGCTTTCCTGTTTTCATTGCTAAAATTATTTGATGAACAGGCAAGAACACCATTAACAGAGCTTTTGTATATAGCAGATAATATTGCATATTTTCCATATATGGCACAAGATGAACCTCTGTTTATTATGCATCAATTAGATATTATGCTTTCTGTTTCTGGTTCAAATTTGTTGCAGACATTTCGAGAGTCTTTGTTGAATAGGCAGACATCTCAGAATACGGAACAGAATCCTGTAAATCCTGAAGCAGATGATTATGATGAAGATGATGATGATTTTGATGCAATTTTAGAACGTCTTCCGGAAGATACAACGATTTTACAAGAATGCATTATTGCATCCCAAGGTTGTGTATTACTTCTGTACCTAAAACAAACTCTGAAAGAAATGTATGGTTTCACTGATAATAAAATTCAACAGTACTCCCCAAATGAGGCTGCCAAGGTGTATGAAAGGCCTTTAAATCGTAAAGCACATGTTCGATTCAATCCGGAAACAGTTATAGATTTTATTAAAAGTGAGGAATTGGAGGGGAAGTTGGATGACAAGGGTAGGCAGGAGCTTGTTCAACAGTACATCCACTTCAAGCAATTAATGTTAACAATAGATCCATCAGATGATGATGATGATGAGGACAATCAGGCTAAACCTGTAGCGTCCATTACTGCAGCTCTGGCTGTTCCAAATTCTGCAGAAAAGACTGCAACAAATGAAAGCAATGATAGTGAAAACAAACCAGCCCAGCCTCTTTTGGAGAAAACTAAGATTGTGATATCAAGGAAGAGTAAATCTCCTTCTCACAGTCGGTGTCATAGAAAATCACCTAAAACACCTAAAGAAAAAGTAAAAAAGAAGCACAAAAAGAAACGAAAACGGGTGATAGACTCAGCTTCGGATGATTCCGGCAATGATCCAGATTATATGGATTCCTCGTGATGGGACTTGTAGTAAATCTCAGTCCAATATTTTAAAATCACACAAGCCTCTTTCTGTGTTACACTCAGTGCTCCTCTTTAAGAGGTTTAGGCTGTGGTATTAACAGCGAGCATGTAAGAACCTGTCAGTAACAGGCCCGTTGCCACTGCAAAAGCTGCACCATTTGTCAAGTGAACACAAACCATGAACTCCCGCATTCTCAGATATATTTTAACAGTGCTTTTGAATAGCCTATCTGGTAGAAGGTGTGGGTATTATCATAAAGTATGAAGTGATGTAACTTATTTATTATTGATGCTTTGTTTCATAAAATTTACAGAATATAAAGAAAAACTTTTTATGGGATAACATCAGCATGATGTTTTTATGTACCTGTAAAGTCTGTTGGCTAGCTGGGCAGCAGTTTTTAAAAGATTTTTAATTTACAGTCATTATAAATAATGCATTATGCCATATTTTCCCCGTGTTTCTTTTCCAAATATATAAACTATCTTCTGTTGTTTCCACATTGTAAAAAGTTACTTGCACAAACATTTTAACTAATTAAAAACAACAGATATATCATTTCTTCAACATAAAACATATTTGGCATTGTAATTTAATGTAAGTCACAAAAATGTAACATTCATTCTTTTGTACTGACCAGTTTTAGCAGCATAACAGTGTTAAATACATTGTTATTGTAATGTATGGGGTTATTGCTGCTTTCTGTAACAAAAAAAAGTAAGTTATAAGGTTATTTTTAGTTTTATAATGAATGTAGTTAGTAATGTATTAAATATTAATTATACTATTTCACCAGGTCATGTATAAAATAATGACAAGAAAAGAAAAACCTGCCAGTTTTCCAAAGCAGTATATGCACTGTTTATTCATAATGTGACTCTTACCAAAGAGGCGTAAATTGGCAGGAATCGGTATTTTTGTAGATAAGATAAAGAAAAAAAAGAAAAAGAAAAAAAAAAAAAAAGAACATTGTTTTATGTTTTCAAAGTTTTAACAATTTTTGAATATACTTATAGAAAAAGAAACCACACGACTATTTGTTATGTGACTACAGAGGCGAAACCTAATCTGAGTATTTGTGGCCGATTTGTTGCCAGCTTTGAACAAGCAAACATAAGGAAGGGGGTAAAAAGTTTTGTAACTTTAATTTTTAGTGGTATAGTATTAGCTATTTATATTCAGTTTTGTTTTCAAAACCAACCTAAATAGGAACATTAATGTTCAGTTACTGCTAATAATGTCAAAATGGGTAAATTAAAAAAGATAAATAAAGAGAAAAAAGAAAAATTCCTCCTCTTCCTCCTTTTTTTTTTTATTTTTTATTTTTATTTTTTTTACCTGCATTTTTCTTTGTACCTTGAGTTTTTCGTATAAATTATCTTTGAATTATTAACATCTTGAACGTTATTTATTGTGTTAATGCAAATTACTTGTGTTTACTTCTTGTGTTACATCTCTGTCTTGAAAAATTCCAGATAACTAACCGTTAGATTTTGTACTTTTGATGATGCTTATATTGAAAGTTCTTAAGATATAATTTCAAAATATAATTTAATACTGTTAATTTCTGTATTCAATGTATAAGCCATTTTAGTTGGTTTCCTTTAAACTTCATGTTATTTCCTTACTTCTCAACTAGAGTTAAAAAAAAAAAAAAAAAAAAAAAAAAAGAAACTGTGATATAAATTGACTGCTTCATTTGCATTTCAGTGTAACATAGCTTTTGTTTTACTTCAGAATTTTACATTATTTAGATTCTTATAATCATTCTTTTATGGTTATTTAAGTATTTTATTTCTTAGTTTTAAAAATTAAAATTTTATGATGCTATTTCACGGTGGAATATATTTAACAAATTGTTTGTTCACAGCTTAGATTTTTTGTTCACAAGTACTCTAGATTTTCATCGAAGTGGTCTCTAGTTTCCTCCTAGATGAATGTATTGTTTCCTTAAAGTTTATGGTTTCCATAACTAGTGTATTTATATGTCTATAAAGAGACTTTAAAATATTTTTTCTCCATTAATGAATTAATATTTGACGTAAATTATTTTTTATGTTATTTGTAAAATAAAAAAAATTTTAAGTAAATCATTTTAGAAATGTGTGGCATAACTAGTTTAAATTAGCCAAGTGTCTTTTTGTTTCAGAATTTACACTCTGCCATAAAAGCTGAATGTAAAGCTGAGTTTTTTTAAACTTTAGAACACTATTCATAATTAATACAGCATTAACTTTAATGCACCATTAACTGACTTTCAGCAGTGCTGCATTTTCTGAAAAGCTAACTGAAGTTTCATAAACATTTGTATATGAATGGGCTAAAAAACTTTTTGGGTGTATCTTAGTCTTTCAGTTGCTGATATACTAAATAATAAAAAAAACTTCTCAAACATTATTTTATATTTGAATTTTTTGACATTTAGCCTAATTGAATTTTTGCCAATGTAGGGTACAATGAGATATGATCTCTTTTTATTTAATCCATATATTACAGTCCCGCTCTTTTTACATATGCACGATATACAAAACCTGTGCCTTGCTGAACTGTCCAATTAAATGTGTTTGGAATAAATGGTATCTTTCAGTGAAAACTTAAATTATTTCTGAATATGAAATTCAGTTTATTTTCTGAATATGAAATTCAGTTTATTTTAGGTGAAAATTTAACATATTAACACATACCAGGATGTTGTATAACTTATTTTTAAACTAGATCTACAGTAGTTAATTAAAAAATCATATGTTGTGTAACATGTCCATGGCTTTTTAACGTGGTGTATAAAGATAGCATTTTCACATGTATTAATTTTAATGAGATCTTTGTTTTAGATACCTGATTTTAGACATGTCTTTTCTTAGTTTTCGACTCAGGGTCTTGTTAAACAAATTTAATAAAAAAATTTTCTGAATATTCAGTATGGTTTGATTTTAGAAAATAAATATGATACACAGCAAAATATGAAGTTAAAAGTTAGTTGCAATTTATTCCTGTTATCCCTGAAATGCAAATAGAAATTTAAGGCAGCTCTGTTTAAGGTTTGCTAAAATTTCTGTTTTGCATTTCTTGACTCCATAGTTTTCTTAAATTGAAGCAATAAGCATGTTCTTTTTATTGAATTGTTGGTTTTATTTTTAAATTTTCTAAAGTTAGACTACTGAGTGCGGAAGTAAGTGGTATTAAGAATTGTTTATAAATTTGAAGTAAATTCTTTAAAAAAAAGTACTTTTGATACATTTATTTAAAATATCCATTCTACATTATAGTCATTGAATGTTTAATGTCATTGAATGCCATTCTAGTTTAATTACATATTGACTAGCAATAAACGAAAACATACTGTTGATTATTTCTTTAATGTTTCTAAACGAATAAAAAAATTCAACATTTTATTAAATTACACATATGTGTTACAAGTTCTTTTGATTTTTAATCATGAGCTATCATATATGGACAATTAGCTCATTTTGTTCGTTTTTCTGCAGAAATAAGGCAGATGCAGCCCTAACATTATTTTTTATGAGAATATGATGAAGAACAATTCTTTTAATACCATATCAGGACATTTTTTTTTTTTTTTCAGTTCAACAAAACTTAGTTTGTCAAAAAACTAATCTTATTAATTTTAAATAGGTTATGTTAATTTGCAGCTTTGTTATCAAAATTTAAATGTTACGTGTAATGTAAATAGCATGTAAGGACAACTTTTCTTATGCAAATGAATGTGTTTTAACAGTTGTGCTCTGTTGTCTTTATAAATAATTATATTTATAGAAAAAGTAAATATTATCATTATTATATATTTTATATAACTATTGAGAAGTCTATAAATAGAAGCTAAGAGAAATGTCTTAGCACAGTTGCCAATTGCTGCTGTGCTGGAAATTTAGAGATTCTTATTACAGTAGCATTTGCATTGGATACTCAAATTCTACAGTTGCAGGTTTCTCATCCCTTTACTCATGTATTAAAAAAAAAAAAAAAAAAGGAGGTATATTGTAGGAATTCACTTGATCTGAAATCATAAACTATGCCTTGTACATAAAATGAATTTTAAAATTTATGAATGTGTATTTGTATCTATAGATGAAATTATATATATATATTATGTATATAATTGTGTTCATAATAAAATAACGTACAAAAATAAATGTATGACAAAAGACCCAAGCAAATCATTTAGGAAATTCTTTGTTTTGGCTCCTTTAGAAGGGAAACTGGGACATGTGTAAAGTAGTTTATTGAAGCCATTATTGTTTTAATTTTATAATATTAAAAAGACTTGTTTAAAATTTTAAAATTGAAATAAGTTATATGTGGCTTAATTTTTGTGAAGAGGAAGTTAACATTTTTACCTATGATAAATTACTATTTTGTCAAAATAGGAATTATATTTCATGGATTTTGAATGATTTCTATTCTCACATAAATTTTAGTAAATAGCATTTCAGTTTAGTACCATTTTTATAGGTTGTATATGTTGAAAATATTAGCAAATAACTAATTTATTATACATTTTAATGTGGTCGATTCTGGTTAATTGGGATATGTAGGGTTCATAAATATAAAGTAAATGCCCTAATAACCAGAAATGTTTTAAAATTTAAGAAAATATGAAATGACAGGCTAATATTTTAATATTTGCATAATATTTATTCATATAAAAAAGACATATTTATTTGCATTAAAAAATAAAAAAATTTCATGTAATGAAAGCTTTTTTTATTCTTCAGTATTAGCATACGTAACGAACTTTACTAATGCAGACTTGCCAACTCTCCCGATTTAGGCGGGAGACTTTTGATTTTCGACCGCTCTCCCGCCAACCTGATTTACAATATATTTCTCCCGACTTATTCTTAAAATTTCTCACGATTTTTATGGAACTTGGCTTAATACTTTGGTATATGAAAAAAAAAAAAAAAAAAAAAAAAAAAAATGATTTTGGACGTCCCAAGCAAAGGAATTTTCTCTAGATTATATCTAAAACAAAACCTTGCGAATTAGATGAGAAACTTCTGCTTTGTGAGTGAGAGCATACATATCCAGAAACGTCCTTCTCCAGTTCTCCAATGGGCATCGTGCTCCACTGCGTGTCATCTGGACATATATCAGCCAATGGGTACAAAACAAGCTGTTATTTGGATGTTCTTTAGTTATTTCGGTCATTTTGTCCTGAGTTGTGTGAGTACACGTGCCTTCGGAAAATAGTTTTAGAAATTATCATCTTTTCTTATGTCCTGCGAGAAAGGTGAAATACTCGTGTACGTTTCAAAATCGTACACAGTTGACTTTCCTTCCATTATTTCCTCAAGGAAATGTAATAAATTTGCAATGTGTACCGCCTGTCATTGCGATTTTTCGATTTCGCATGGTGGAAGGGCGGATATTCTCAAACATTTGCGTACACAAAAACACAAGGACAAAATGAATTGTTTTGAAAAAAACGAAAAATTTAATTTTTATTGGGAAGCAAAGGACCAAAAAGTTATTGATGCAGAATATCTGTTCTCTGCCTTTTTACTGGAGCACAACCTGCCACTGAATGCATCGGATCACGCTGCAGCTTTATTTAGAAAAATGTTTCCCGATAGTGAAATCGCTAATAAATACTCAAGCGCAAGAACCAAAACAGGTGCAATTGTTAAAGAAATGGATTTGGGAAGGAAAAAAAAAAAAAAAAATCTTCAGTTATTGATTGCATTAAAACATCTCCGTTCTGCCTCTCTCCGGATGGAAGCAATAATACCGATTCAAAACTGTGTTCAATTAGTGTTTCTTTTTTTAATCCAGAGTCTTCAGAAAACGAGTGCAGTTAACTTTCTGTCCCCACTTTGGAAGGACATTTGACAGGCTTTAATATAGCACGGCTAATTATTAAAACTTTAAAAGAAAATGCAGTCCCCTCTGGATAATTGCTTAGCACTAGGTGCCGATAATGCACCAGTATTGGTAGGCTTGAAGACTGGTGTTGAAAAAAAGGAAAATTCAGAAAGGAAAATTCAGATTTGCAGATTATGAGGTGCACCTGTCACCTCTTAAATTTAGCAGCTGAAAAAGGAGTAGCTTCTTTACCAATAAATGTGGATGAACACATTGTTGATATTTTTTATAATCTTGAAAGGAGTTCTAAAAAGGAAAAATTTAAACAGGTCCAACAGCTGCATAATAGCAGTTTACAATTAGAAAACTTGGATGAAGTTATAAAATCAGCTAGGATTGACACCCAGTGGAGTTTAATTGGAAAACTGAAAGATGCTGATGGAATTTTAAAATATAGAGAACTGTCTAGAATTATGTTGGCCATCTTGACAGTTCCCCATAGTAATGCAGAGTGTGAGAGGATTTTCAGTGTTGTTGCGAAAACGAGGATTAAATTTAGATCTAATATTAGTGATGACACATTAGAAAACTTTTATTAGTGAAAGCAGGCCTACGTGGCAATTGCTATGAACAAAATTAGGAAGTTTCTTAAAGAAAGCAAAATCTGCCACTGTTTATACCATTTGTACAAAAACTGATTAAAGGTTTTTTTTTTTTTTCCTAAACGATGCAAGTAATAAAAATGTTTTTTATGTGTAAGGTATTTTTGTGTTGCTTGCATTTAAAAATTAGTTACTATTTAAAGTTAATTCATTATTAAAAACTATATTTTCCTCATTTAAAAAGTCTTTTTAACATTGTGAAAAATCTCCCGATTTCTTAAAAAATCTCCTGATTTTTGAGTGTCATAGGTTGGCAAGTATGCTAATGTGTTTGTAATACATGAAATGTTTAACTAATACCCTTGTAGCAGTAATTTTGAGAATATTTATAGTTTAAAAATGCATTAATGAGTTAAATGGGTGCATACATGTTCGTACAATAGACTTATCTATGTGCTCCATGTTGAAAGAAGTCGTCAAAGCAAATAGGCTTGAAATTGCAAACGTACATTTTGTAGCATTTATCTGAATTACTTGTTTGAATGTTTTGTAGTTAAATACGAATCTTGAAGTTTTGGTTGAAGGTTCCTATGATTTTGTTATCACCATATTTTCATTATGCTACGTTTACTGTTATTGTTAATATCTTTCAGGTTCCCCATGCTTTTATTTATTTCTGTATTTTTTTAAAAACTTTTGTTGCTTTATTTTCTGTTTCTGATTATCTATGGTAAAGCTGATTTAGAAAAGGTTTGCCTCCCAAGTTATTACCCTCAGTTGCAGTGACATATTGGCTTCTTTTTTTGAACTGTCTCTTTTGGATATTTATCAGTAAAAATCTTGAATTTTTTTTTAATGGTTTGTTGAGTTCAGTGACTGGATTAAGGACACAATATTGGCTGATAAAAATTCCGCCTTTATAAGAGTAAATATTGAATATCTTCTCTACAGATCTGCCATATCAGAATAATTTTTACCAACGTTGCAATAATGCCATATTTTACCCTAGAAGAGTCCAGCAAATTCAAGTGACATAATATATAACTCTATAGGAATAGAGGAGACATGTTTTGTCAACAATCTTGGTGTTATGTCGAAAATTTGTTTCAAAGAAAAGCACACAACCTTTGTTTCACTGATTTTGCCTCAGTTCTACTTAATTTTAGAGGACCTTAAAGTAAATGTATTCATGAAGAAAGTGCACATGCCTATAAAACATAAGGGAGAAAACCAACAGTTATATAATATTTTAAATAGTAAGACTTGCATTACCTAATTCTCTTTTTAGCAAGTGCTGATTGTCTGGAAAATGCAACTAATAAACAAAAAAGTATCATTTTGAAACTACCTTACACCAGTGTCTTTACACATATAGAGCGATTGATAATTTTTTCGAGTTTTTCAAATCCCTAGTATAGCCTATGATACACTCTAAAAAATAAAATGTAATTTAATAGTTTACTAAGTTGGCAATAGAATGATGGATGGAGTGTTCTTGATGAACAGTGCTCTTTCAAAAACTCATTTACAATAAAATTTGAACATAAAAATAATGTAAAACATTATAATGAAGCTAACATCATACTTTCATTAATAATGAGGGTTAAATATAAACTGTGAACATAATTTCGGTTAACTTTAAAAATGCAACTTGCATTTCTCTTATACCTTAAAAAGAAGGGAAACGTATAGTTACATAATGAATAATATAGCCATGCCATAGTTATAAGTAGTGTTGAAACAAAAATTTTAGCAGGTTATAAGTTCATGTTGTTCTCTAGTTCTGTTGAACTATAGAATTCAGTAACACAACTTCTTTATCTGTTTGGAATCAATAATGATATGCTACATGATGCAGATCATGTTTTTCAAATTAAAATTCCCTTTTGTGGTATGAAATCCAAAATCATGGAATTTGTATACGAGGCAAAATATTTTTCAGTTGTTCACAATACACTAATCGCACTGATCAGGAAGCACTTGCAAAAGGAATTATAAATGTTCACACTTATGGCAGTTTGAGGATTATTTCTTGGGTTTTATCTAGTATTAGGTACAGGAAAATACCGCATAATTAACTTTTAATTCCTAACATATGGGAAAAAAATCATGCATGGATGTGAAAATATCCGATAGTGGCTTGTAAAGCAAAATTAAGATTCCAAATCCTTTTTGAATCGCATTTTTTGTATCTAGTTGTAAGTGATGTTTTCAAGTAGCTTTTGAGACATTTTTAAATAATTTTTGAATAATTGTTCACATTTTTTTTTTTGGATCCCATCTTATAGGTGGAATATTTTAGATTTAATTCTGAAAGCTAATGGTTTAAAAGGGAAGAAAACATTAAAAGCCGTACACCTTTTCAGAATATATCCTTGTGTTTTTAAAAATTGCAGCGCTAGGAAAGAACCAAGGAATTATTTTCCGTCTTACAGTAATACAACATTACTGGCATAAAATTGTTATTTTGCGAAATTGACACGAGCAAAAATAAAAGTTCCTGTACGTCTTGGCATCAAATCAAGGAGGTGTAGGAAATGTTTCTGGGGGTATTTATACCGGACTGCTTCGATCCCAGTTTACGTTTAATGGCATTGCTAGAGTAGAGTGTTGGGCATAGGTAACCATGTCTCATGGACGTTCAATCAGGGACATGTCTGGTAGGCCAGGGAACAAGCAGTGTCTGCTGTGCTGCAAAGACTTGGATATCCTAAGCGGCATGTGGT